CAAGGATAAAAGTTCCATTTTGAAAGCTTAACTAGAATACTAAATTAATCACTTTGTACTTTTAGAACGCCGATCTCGGCATCTGTGATTTGACGATGACTTCTTCCCGACGCCAGGCCGTGGACTTTACACCTCCTTTCATGACCTTGGGAATCAGTATCCTGTTCTCTAAGCCTCCCACCCCACCCACTGATCTGTTCTCCTTTCTGTCTCCATTCTCGTTGGACGTGTGGATTTACATGGGATCTGCGTACCTCTTCATTTCACTGCTCCTGTTCGCACTGGCTCGAATGGCGCCCGACGACTGGGAAAACCCGCATCCCTGCAAGGAGCCCGAAGAGGTGGAGAACATATGGTCGATTATGAACACCACCTGGCTCTCAATTGGATCCTTGATGGGTCAGGGCTGTGACATCCTGCCCAAGTAAGAGCAGATTGCCAAAGCGCACAATCCTTTGATTTAATTATGATGCATTTTTTAGGGCAGCGTCCACCAGATTGGTAACTGGTATGTGGTGGTTCTTCGCTTTGATGATGCTGAATTCGTACACGGCCAACTTGGCCGCCTTTTTAACCAATTCCCGCCAGGCAAACTCGATCAACAACGCAGAGGACCTGGCGGCCCAGAGCAAGATTAAGTACGGTGCGATGGCCGGTGGTTCCACAATGGGTTTCTTTCGGGACTCCAACTTCAGTACCTACCAGAAGATGTGGACCGCCATGGAAAGCGCCAGTCCCTCGGTTTTTACAAAAACCAATGACGAGGGCGTCGAGAGGGTGCAAAAAGGCAAGAACCTATACGCTTTCATGATGGAATCTACCACTTTGGAATACAATGTGGAGCGCAAGTGCGATCTGGTGCAAATCGGTGGCTGGCTGGACTATAAGAGCTATGGCATCGCCATGCCTTTCAGTGAGTGTTGATTAGAGCCTTATTTAATAATTAATATTTACCAGGAAAATTACCGCATCGCACAGAGTGCTTTGGGTCTTAGAAACTCAATTGATTCTGGAGAAATAGCGTTTGATTCTAGTTTAATTTAGCTCTTAAATATTTTCAAAACAAATTGACTTTACTAACATCATTTCACCCCCTTTATCCCTTTTTACAATAAACGCTCTGCGTAGTATAAAAGACAATTTATATTTTCTTATATTTGCTATTTAGTAAAATAAACCAATTCTACTTTTAATATGCATTGAATTTACCAGAAGTTTTTGAAGTCTACTGCAAATGATACGTATTACATTTCGTAATGTTTATAATTTTATAGTAGATTCATTCAAAATTTGCAGTTAAAATACTTTAACCGACTAAAGAAGTTTACCAGTAAAGTTTAAAGTGAATAAAGGAATGATTTAAAGTAGACTTAACACTTAGTACTTTACTTGAAAGAATAAGTAAAATGTTCAATAAACAAATCAAACAATAAACAAATTAACCAACAACAAAATACAAAACGTAAAATAATTTATATTGAAAGTTTTAAACGTAGTGAAAGAGAAATTAAAATTAAAACTTCGTTGTTTATTAATTTATTTGATTAAACTTAGAGATTTACATAGTAATGGTTTATTTGCGGTTTTAACTTTGTTAAAAACGTACAACGCTATCATAAAGTTGCCATAGGAACGATCGAAAACATTAAAGTCATTTTATGAAATATCTAATATTTGCATTAGCTACTTCTTTTTTGTTGGAGTTAATTTAACCGGCACTACAGTACAAAATGTAAAAACAAAATAGACAACATATTGATTAAACCGCTAAAATATGGTTCTGTCTACGCAGATCGGCGGCAGAGGACTTCATAACCTTCATAATTTCTAAAACATTAGCTCGATTTAAAAAAATAAAATTTGTATCTACCGATAGATATGACCAAAACCCGCACAGAAACACTTACTTACAAGCATGTCTTAGAGTGCCAGTACATACTTTCACGATTTGTGGGCATTAGAGTGTTTAATTTGAAATAAACTTGCGCTGCCGAGGAATTACTAGAATATGCGTTCCAAGGCCCAAATCTCTAGCTTCTATAGTTTCCGAGATCTCGAAGTTCATGCAGACGGACAGACATACGGATTTGGCTAGATCGACTCGGCTTTTAATCCTGATCAGACTATAAAACGCTTCCTTTTACCTTCTACATACTCACACTGAAAATGGGGTTATAAACTAAAAAAAATAACAAAACAAATATTTTGGTCAATATTTTGATATAAATGTTGGTTACGATTTTAAATATTCTTTCAGATTCCCCATACCGCAAACAGATCAGCGGGGCAGTCTTAAAGCTGGGCGAACTTGGTCAGCTGGCGGAACTAAAGCGAAAGTGGTGGAAGGAGATGCACGGCGGCGGCAACTGCGAGAAAAGCGACGAGGAAGGCGGAGACACTCCGGAACTGGGATTGGAGAACGTGGGCGGTGTCTTTCTGGTACTGGGACTCGGATTGTTATCGGCCATGGTACTCGGATGCACTGAGTTCCTCTGGAACGTCAAGTCAGTAGCTATTGAAGAAAAGGTAATACTTATTTGCGCTTAATAAGAAGTTACCGTAAGGTAAAGCCTGTTGAAAACTACACAAATCTAGGATTTTTTCGATCTTTAACAATAGTATTAAAAGTTATAATGAAAATTATGTTTATGTTTAGAAATGAACACATTTTTTATTATGTTACCATATTTTAAAATGTGTAAGTTAAGCTTTTCGCCTGTTTTTGAGCCTATTTTATTATATTCGAAGAGTAAAAGACTACATTGTATGCAACAGGTAGAAAAAGCAAAGAATTTATCTTTCCGTATGAGAACGAGATTTCTGGGATTTAGATTAAATTTAGTTATTTTGTAAATTTTGTTACGCCCACTTGAATGTCCACAAATTACAAAACTCTGTAGAGACCCGGTAGAGAAAAGTTATTTGGCGGTATTTGTTTGTTCTATGTATAATCAATCAACAATTTTTATACCCTTGCAGAGGGTATTATAATTTCAGTCAGAAGTTTGCAACGCAGTGAAGGAGACATCTCCGACCCTATAAATTATATATATTCTTGATCAGCATCACTAGGAGAGTCGATCTAGCCATGTCCGTCTGTCCGTCTGTCCGTTCGTCTGTCCGTCCGTCTGTCCGTCTGTCCTTCCGTTTCTACGCAAACTAGTCTCTCAGTTTTAAAGCTATCTGAATGAAACTTTCCCAAAAGTTGTCTTTCTATTGCAGGTAGTATATAAGTCGAAATGAGCCGGATCGAACGACTATATCATATAGCTCCCATAGGAAAAATCGGAAAATTCAGAATTACGATTTAAATTTCATCAAAATCGGACGACTATAGCATATAGCTCCCATACGAACAATCATAAAAATAAATTTAAAAAAATAACTTTGGTCTTTTTAAATTTTTTTTTTAGTTCTTCGAGATATAGTAATGGTTAAATATTTCAGAATTACGTTTTAAATTTCATGAAAATCGGACGACTTTAGCATATAGCTCCCATAGGAACAATAGTATAGCTGCCATAGGAACTATCGAATAATTAAGCTGCAAATCATCATAGCTTCAATGTTTTTAAACATACACGCAAGTAAATCATAATTTTAACGTTTTCAAGAGTATTTAGTTTTTGAAATAGCTGCAAGGGTATATGAACTTCGGCTTGCCGAAGTTGCTTCCTTTCTTGTTCAATTCGAATTAGATGTAATTAAGAAATTAAAATTGAAAGATTTAATGGCTGTGCTCAGGCCACATTAATTTTCTCAGCGCTTATAGAAAAAAAGCAAATGCAGTGTGACCTGAAAGTGGAAAATTCTCAGAAATATACCGCATTATACTCCAAATGTTCTTTAAGTTTACCATAATAAAAATGTATTTTTATAAAGCGATAGTATCGATTGTAAGCCCAAACCTTAGATGTTTTCAAATTTTTTCGACCATCGATAGTATCGATAGTGCTATCGATTTTTTTACCAAACCTATTAAAATGTCTTGAATAAGTCCTGTTTAACCAATTGCTTCTCTTGGCAGATATCACTTAAAGATGCTTTTAAATCTGAGGCTTTGTTTGCGGCCAAAATTTGGATAACCACCAAACCTGTGCACACAAGCTCTGGCTCTGGCAGCTCATCTTCGGCCAGTTCGTCGTCAAGTCGTTCAAAGCATTCTTCAAAGTCGCAGGGCGTATCTATGAAAAGTCTCAAGAGTTCAGGGGATCATGACGTAGAGGCATCGGTACACAGCAAACTGAAGAAAATCGGTTCCATGTTCTCACTAAAATCACAGAAGACAACCACTCCGCCTCCAGAAATAGGCTGGAAGTTGGACAAGTCAACGCAAATGGATGAATTCCCAACTCCAGAACGCGAGTCCGAGTTGATCCCAGAGGTAGAGCCAGAGCCAGAGATAGAACACCCGCGACATCGACATCATCATCATCATCATCATCACCATCGGCATCATCACCACCATCATGAACAAGATCAGGAGCATGAAAAAGATCCATCGCCACTTGATTGATGTATTTTGGGTACCAAATGTAACAATGAGACAACATCTTATCGACCTCCACCCCAAAGACCATTTGTCTAATTCATCAGGGACTATAAATAATGATTGTTTTCTCAAAATTACATGTTATGACCCTAAAAAATAATGGTTTACGCAAATATCATTCTCTTCATCCAAATAATGCATTTCTGCCATGATTTTTAAAGTGTCGATTTTGTAAAAATTTCTTCAACAAAAATTATTGATTTCGAGTATTTTTAAAACTATTATTTTTGATCAAAAAAATAAATTATCAAAGATTTATATTGTTCTTACTCAAAATAAAACTCAATTGTAGGTCCTTGCGTTAAATTTTTTTGTCAAAATTGTTGTATACACTTGTATAGGGATCACAAAACTACAGCTCAGTACTTTTTGGTTTTTTTTCTGCGTTAAAGAACAAAAATTTAAATCAATTTAAAAATAAAACGTGTTGCCGCCTGTGGTACTCTTATCCTTGTTATGGATCATAAATCTGCCCCAAAGTTCCTTTTCTTTTTTCTCCACTGAACAATAAATTAGAGTACTTAATGATTTTTATTTTATTCCTCTCAAAATAAAACTAAAAATACGTAAATACTCTTGCGTTTTAATTTACTTCGTCATAATTAAAAAATAAAATTTCGATTGGCAATTAGTCGTACATATCTATCAATAACATGTATAAAGATAAGCAAATCTAATAGGAGCCGAAACTGGATTGCGAGGATCCGGGATTAGAGTATGCTAAACGCTCATGCATTATAACTTTTAAAATCGCTTATCATAAGCCGAATGAAATAATACTAATTTTTGTATTCCTACGAATTGGGTCACAAGCGTAATTGTACTCTGCGTAGTTTTTATTGGCAAAGAAAATTTGAGTGCCAACGATGTGAGCAACCTAAAGCGGCATTAAAAGCGAAAGAACTAAAGTAAAATGAAAATAGTTAAAAAAAAGTGTTCGGGTCGAGGAAAAAAAAATAGCTCAATCAAACGTGAAGTAGTAGCCACCTTAAAAAACAGATTCATCTACTTAAAAATTGACTCGGCGCAATCTCGGAATTCTCGGTGTAAATTTCCGATTCGTTGACCAAGATAAAATTTGCGTTAAAACGTTGGGTCTGATAGAGCTGAAGGCATCGCACCGAAATTAAGTCCAGATTGGCTGATTATTGCATGTCGATAGACAAAATTTATACCATCACGATGCACAACAGTCGAAACGTTGGTCGTATTAAGCAGAACAACATGATCACTGATCACTGGTGGATTTCTTACGATAGTTTTGCTGAATGCGTATGATCACTGATCGTGTTGCAAAAATTCTTCCATCATGATCAGCAAAAAAGGAGCGTGAAAATAGTACGCTACCTTTTCTTGATACATGATACATATCTGTTAGCCTATATCGATGGTGTAAATATAGGTAAGAATAAACAGAAAAAAAAGAACAATACAAAAATTAACAATAACGGAAGCAAACTTCGGCAACTCGAAATTCATATACCTTTGCAGCTATAGCAGCTAAAACTATGATTTATTTGCTTGTGTCTATGTTTAAAAACATTGAAGTTATGATGATTTACAGCTCAATTATTCGATAGTTCCTATGGCAGCTATATGATATCGTTTTCCGATTTTAATAAACTTAAAGCGTAATTCTGAACTGTCAAATTATTAATAAGTTAAAAAAAAGTTTAAAAAAAAAATTACAAAATAGAAAAGACTACCTGCAATAGAAAGACAGCTTTTGGGAAAGATAGCTTTAAAACTGAGAGACTAGTTTGCGTAGAAACGGACGGACAGATGGGCATGGCTAGATCGACTCTCCCAGTGATGCTGATCAAGAATATATTTACATTATAAACGTCTCCTTCACTGCGTTGTAAACTTTTGACTGAAATTCTAATACCCTCTGCAAGGGTATAAAAATATTAAATTTTTTAGGCTCCAATGATTTTTCTGGAAAAAATGAGCCTTTCAACCGTTTTCAGGTTGAGAGGTGCGCGAATTTCTTATGGTTTTAGTCCTTTAAAAATTGCTTGAGTTCTACATTTATAATTAACAAGAAAGAAAAACTTTCACTTTATGGAATTTTTTTTTGAATTTTTTGGTTAAACAAAACTAAAGCTAAAAAAATGCCTTTGAATATAATGAAATGAACAAATTCACGAACAAATTGTTCGCCTCCCCATCATTGCAGCCATTTTTTCTCAGGATATACGAATTTACGTAAACCTATTTAAAATAAAAAACAAGAAAGAAAGCAAACTTCGGCAAGCCGAAGTTCATATACCCTTGCAGCTATTGCATGAATTAAATACTTTTGAAAATATTTAAATTATGATTTACTTGAGTATATGCTGAAAAACATTGAAACTATGATGATTTGCAGCTCAATTATTAGATAGTTATTTTATATATTTTTATTATTTCTATGGGAGCTATATGCTATAGACGTCCGATTTCGATAAAATTTAAAACATAATTCTGAAATAATTAAACATTGCTATATGTCGAAGAACTAAACAAAAAATTAAAAAACAGAAAAGTTATAATTTTTTTTCATTTATTTTTCCGATTGTTCCTATGGGAGCTATATGCTATAGTCGTCTGATTTTGATGAAATTTAAAACATAATTCTGAAATATTTAACCATTACTATATCTCGAAGAACGAAACAAAAAATTAAAAAACAGCAAAGTTATAATTTTTTTCATTTATTTTTCCGATTGTTCCTATGGGAGCTATATGCTATAGTCGACCGATTTTGATGAAATTTAAACCGTAAATCGGAAATATTTAACCATTACTATATGTGGAAGAACTAAACAAAAAATTAAAAAACAGCAAAGTTATAATTTTTTTTCATTTATTTTTCCGATTGTTCCTATGGGAGCTATATGCTATAGTCGTCCGATCCGGCTCGTTCCGACTTATATACTACCTGCAATAGAAAGACAACTTTTGGGAAAGTTTCATGCAGATAGCTTTAAAACTGAGAGACTAGTTTGCATATAAACGGACGGACAGACGGACGGACAGACGGACGGACAGACGGACGGACAGACGGACATGGCTAGATCGACTCTACTAGTGATGCTGATCAAGAATATATATACTTTATAGGGTCGGAAACGTCTCCTTCACTGCGTTGCAAACTTCTGACTGAAATTATAATACCCTCTGCAAGGGTATAAAAAGGTTGTACTTCCAAAGAGCCCCAACGCACGATCATTTTTAATTTTTTAGGATCCATGCATTTTGGGGTCATGATTACGACTAAATAGGTCAAAGTTTGCGACAAGACCGATTTCTTGGAAAATAACGGTAAACCCGATATTTATGTTTTTTTTTTTTTTAATTTGACCTTTATCAAAAAACACATCCAAACAAAAGTTCAGGGTCTACTTGAAATACACATTACGTTCCGCCCATACGATATTTGAGCCATCGAATTGACCATCCCTAATATACTTTTTAACGGATACCATATACTCTTTACTCTATTCTTCATATTTCAATCTATTTAGAAATACTAAAAACAAAAAATAATGGGGTTGTTCAGTTTTTATTGCATTTTCTATTTTAATTTTTTTTGTATTTTTTGCTTTATTAAACTAGTTTTTAATTATATTTTTTTTTTACACTGAAAAGTGTTTTCGTAAAGTTTTTGAATTCGAAATTCCTTAAGTAATTTAAATTATTTCATATGAATACTTACAATTTTGACTAAAATTTTATTTTTAAATATATATATTTTTTTAATATTTATAATATTTACGATATTGTTATACATTATTTGGGTAAACTTTTTTTTGCAAAGCTAGTTAAATACGTTTGTTTTTTCTTTTTTTTTCTTTTAAGGTACATTATTTGTTGCTTTTCTTTCTTGCTTTCGTTTTTTTACTTTTTTATTTTTTGTTTATTTTTTAGAGCTTCTGTCGCACAATATTTTTTAACCATCGATTTTAGTTACCTATTCCTATAGACTTATTAAATTACGGAATTGATATCATACAAAAATACAGATTTTTAATAGATGCATAAGATATTATCTGCTTAAATACTAGGACAGGAATAAATAAACAGAACAAGAAAATCAAGCTTTACTTGGTAGACGTGCCATTGTCTCTTATATACAGTATTAGACAGAAACTAACAGATTTTTTCTTATAATATATTAATTAAAATACTTTTTTTAAGAGTATTTTTGCTTTTAGGTAGATCTTGGGGTACATTTGTCATAACTTTCGTTTGGGGAGATTTGTCTAAGGTAATGTCCTTGCAAAATTCTCTAAAATTGCTAAACCATCTGCTGTTTATCAACCATGACCATATCCTTGGGGCAGTGGCGCCGTGGTCAATCCTTGGCGGCAATGGCCACGGGCGGAAATTGCCGCTCATCGTAGAGCTTCGTTGGAGTGTCAATGGCGTCGCAGAGCTTGCGAAACTTGGCGGAATCTGGGGAAGGGATATTGGTAAAATCATTGTTCGGAAACGACCATCTAACTCTGCCCACCTGACATCGCATCCGCCTGGTCACCTTTCAGGATGCTCGCATAGCTGTTATCCTGCGTCGGATCCGGATTCTCGATGAGAACACTGGCCGCACAGCTCTTCAGCAGGGTAAGCGAGGGCTGCGTCATAGACGTCATGGACGCAGGACTCGCCGCCTTGATCTGCGACCTCAGCACGCTTTCGCTCAGCTGCAGCTCGATGACGTCCTCCAGGGCACCACGCAGGTCGTGGACCGACAGCAGTTTGCAGGCTCCGCCCCGATCCGCCAGGAACTCGTGCACGTACAGGAAGCCGTCCTCGCACGCAATCAGCAGACGCAGCTCCTTCTGGACGCGGGTCAGGGCGCAGATGTGCCTCAGGCCGCCCTGGGCCAGCTGCACCGTGGCGAAGGATCGGTCTTGGGCCAGCACTTCGCTGACCTGCGTGGGCAGCAGCAACGAGGACACCGCCTTGGAGAACATTCCGCCCCAGCTGGCCACTGGCGCGGCGGTTTTATTGGCTTCCTCCGCTGCTGTGGCCGCTACTGACTCGTTCGCAGAGTTTTCTGACTTCGCCGCCACATCCGCTGTAAAATTAATTCAAAATGCAACTTTAGTTAAATGTATTCTTATTAATTTAATTTAATTTAATTTTTAGTTTATAATATTTTTGATTATAATTAAACGAAAAGGAAGTTAGCTACGGCAAGCCGATGTTTTAATACACTTTGCAGTCAAGTAATGAAATCAAAATGATAAAAAGGATATGATAGAAAACCATATTAGGCAAAAAAAAGCTAGATGAAAGAAAAATTGGTCGAAAATAACGAAATTTATTAAATTTTACCAGATTGTTCCTATGGCAGCTATAGGACATAATTTACTGATCGCCAAGGATTTTGTCAGTTTAGATAAGGGTGGTCCAAAAAACCCAACTCTCACCATTGAACAAGAAGCGTTCAAAAACCAAAGAATTTTATTTTAAGTTGTATGCGTTGCGCAATGGTTTTTTAAGTTTCCATTTAACTAATTTACTGATTCGACATATAAAAGCCAGCTCGAATTTTGTGCAAAGGATTTTTCTCACCATTTCTATTTTGTGAACTTTTTTATATCAGTAAAACATGAGAACAACATAAGCAATTTTTTGGTAGAAAATTTGAATTTAGTACGCCACTTGGATGATATGAGCAGACTATAGAATGCATTATTTTAACGAATTTGTTTTTTATATTATTTAAAGCGCACAAAACAGCTGGTTAGGCGAATGCCTTTAAATTTCTATACAAATTTGGACCAACCTAGTGTAACTATACAAAATCATGAATGAATCAAAAATATACGAAAGGCTATAGAATAAAGTCAACCTATTTTGATAAAATATTATGTATAGGTTCTAAACACCATAAAAACATCACTCAGGGCAACTTTAAATTTTCTCAAATTAAATTTCAAATGTATAACGATTGCAAAAGTTTCAAATCTCTAGCTTTTAAACTGAGCTCGCTAACCTAAGGTTAATTTGAAGGGGCAAATTTCATTGGACATTGGTAAGCTAGGTAAAGGGTAAATAGCAGTCGGATCACTCGACTGCAACGTTTCTTCTTGTTTTTAATTGTTTTAAGCAACCCACTGGAGTTTTGTGCACCTCCGTTTGTAAAATACCGGTCATAATCCATCCTGTCCCGATTGTTAAACAGATCCCAAAACGCCCCTTGGGCAACCAACTTACCTATCGCCTTCAGTTCGACGCTCTCCACTGCCCGCGCGTCGATCTTGAAGACGTGGACGGTCTCCGTGTTGGAGGAGGCGCAGAGGAAGTCCCCGCTGGCCGAGAAGACCAGTGAGGCGATGCGGACGCAGCTGACGCCGCGCCGGAACTCCTGCACCCGCTGGCCATTCTTGACGCAGAAGACCCGGATGACGGTGCCGCGCTCGGAGGCGGTGGCCAGCAGGGCGCCGCTGGGCGAGAAGGCCAGGGCCGAGAGGGGCGTGTCGTGGGCCCTGATGGTCATGCCCGTGCGCAGCTTGCTGGCATTGAAGATGCGCAGCTCGCCGCTGTTCTGGCAGACCGGGAAGGCCAGGTGCGAGTTGAGGGACAGGGCGCACAGGCCCTGCTCGTTGGGAGCGATGTTCTCGATGGAGTGCAGGATCTTCATGTCGCGGATGTCGTGGATGTGTATGCTCTCCGCCAGGCAGACGATCAGCCGCTGGCGGTTCATGCGGACGCACAGGATCTCCGACGGGTAGAAGCAGTTGCAGATGTCCTGCTTCTTCTTGAAGTGCAGCATCTTGAGGCAGTTTGGCTTCTGAGCGGTGACCAGCACCACCAGCGAGCTGTTGAACAGGCGCTCCACTATTCGGATCTGCTCCGTGTTGTCCTTGGCGAAGATCTCCTCCACCTTGTCCTGGCTGGCTATCGAGTACAGGCGCAGGCCCGTGGGACTCAGCACGGACAGGGATCTATCGAGAAAAAAAGAAAACGTAAATAACAAGCTTTATGTAGATTTTGGTTGACCCAAAATGACTTCCTACCAAACCCAAACCGAAAGTCCAATCTCGTATCCGAAAAACATCTTTCGTTAAATACCCTCCAACGCAAAAAATTTAAAATAACATTAATTAAACCCAAACTTAGAAAAAATCTCAAAAGAACTGGCGATGTGTTTAATCTTAGATCCCCCTTGAGATATTTGAGTAATAATATCACACCACTTTGGCCAGCTCATCAAAAATTATTCCAGTATTTCATAACATTTTATAAAAAGCTTTATTTATGTTATATTTTTAGCGTTCCGAAAAACAATTTTTATTTTTTCCGTTTTGTCCACCATCTTCTGTTACCTCGTTAACTTTGAGATAAATATTAAAATATATTTAGTGTTTGAATGTAGATCCTCTTAGACTTATCAAAACCAAAACATTAATAGGCATTTTAATCTTGTTTATGAATTAGTGATAGCACAAAAAAGCCAAAAAAAAAGTTTGAAAAAAAAACTTATACATACAAACACAATTTTTTTATTATGCCGTTACTTTTAAAGAAATTTTGCAGGTTAAAGCAAATAAAATTTATATGCACAATCAATCCATGTTTTCGAAATAAGGTAGAAAATGGGAATCATTAATAAGAACACAGGCAACAAATAAATTCTAAACCATTTTTAAGGAATTGGCGCTATAAGAACTTGTAAGCTACAGGCTTACATTTGATATGATTATCAATTTTTTTTCTTAAACTGGATTTTTACAACTTTTTCGATATTTTGTAAGGACTATAAATCAAGAGAAATATTTTTCGTGTCTTCAGCTAAGTTGTAGATATCGAATGGCAGTAGAAAATACGGTAAAACTTAACAAAAAATCGCAAAAATTTACCATAATTAAAAATTGTTCTATCATTTTTGGTCAATAACTCGACCACACATCTACAAATACGACGTTTTTTTTCCTTTATTTCGAGTGAAACAAATTTTTTTTATTATTCTTTACTATTAATACTAAAGAAACAAAAAATCCGTTCATTTCGACAAAATTCGCCATTAATAAGAAGGAAACGTATAGAAAATTGGCAATTTGCGGGAAATTAATCAAAATGGTAGACAAAAATTTGGATGGCGCCTGTGAATGTTTGAAAACCATCTTTATAAAACTCAGCAATGATATAGTTAAAGCTGGTGCGTAGTATTAAATATTTTAGTATTTTTATATCACTTCGGTCTATTTTTACGTTTTTAATTTTTGCAATTTTGAGGCATAAAGTTCAATTAGTCGAATAAGTTTTTTTTTCCTCATTCGATACTTACAACTTTTCTAAGGACACAAAAAAATAATTTTATCGGTTTTAGATATAGTCGTATAAAAAAATACGAACAAGTTTTCAAAATTCAGTTTGAGGTTAAAAATGCATAATAGCAAAAGATCCAAATTCGAACCAATATGTCAAAAATAGTAGCGCGGAATTTCTAGTTTTGAAGTTTGTCAAATATTTAGTTAGAATCAATGACTGTGTTTGCGAGTTTTTCGCAGTGCAATCGTTTGTGATTTTTTTTTTGCTCAAAAATTTTAAATTTTGAGCTTAACATTTCACTGCTCATAAACAATCATTATTTTTAAAGCAAATTTTGCAAATGAAAAAAAATATTTATTTTAACTACAAATTGCCCAAGTAAAATGCAATTGAAACTTGTGCAATTAGTGTGGTGACAACTAATATACATTTGTAATAAATTCGGAGATATTTTGTTTCAGATATTCATAAATCGCTTGTTTTCGCTGGGCGGTTCACGAAGCACACGTCTGATTTGACTAACAAACACTCCATGATGCACTCACTAATGTCTATTATCATCTTCAGTAGTCATATTTATTATCAAATTAGCCCTCTCGGGCTTCCAAAAATTGCCGTAGTGGACGGTATTTCACGTCCCCATGGCGGGGTATTGGTTAAAGTTTTCAACTAGCAATAACCGCACCTCAGTAGAACTTCATCGGTTACGGTATTGCCACTGCGCAAAGATAACATTTGAGTGGCATGTCGGCTCTACTCCATGCTGGCGCTGCCAGAACCAGTTGGGAATTGTATGCGCACACGCACGCAAAAGTCTCTCAAGCAACCACTTTGCAACCGGTCAAAAAATGCAGCATGCTTTTAGGCCCCCGTTGCTGTTGTAGTTGTGATTCAACTGCTAATGCAGCATCGAGATATGTATGTACATACATATGTATGCACGAAAATTGTTTGCAGTTGTGCTTCAAAGGGGTGGTTTCCACCCCCCCGTTTGACCTTCGGAAAAGGGCACATCGACATTGCACCACCGAATTGCAGGCGTTTGGTCAATGATTTTTACTTTTATTTGGTAACAAATTTAAAATAAAATTGCTTAACTGATTGGATAAACTATTTAATAATTGAGGTCGAATGTTTGGCTTTTCAAAAATAAAAACAAAAATAATAATATAAGAAAGCAACCACTTTTAGGTAACAAATTTAAAATAAAATTGGTTAACTGATTGGATAAACTATTTTATATTTGGGGTCGAATGGTTGGCATTTCAAAAAGGCAACAAATAATATAAGAAAGCAACCACTTGATGAACTGAGAGAGATTTCTTTACTTTAATGTCACTTTCACAATCACAATCATAAGAACTCTGTGCTTTTGTTGATGATGTATCATAATTCAAAAACATGAGAAATGATAGTCGAGTAGCAAAAAATAAAACAAAAATTTATTAAAACCAAATTTTTGTTTTTTAGTAGATAACTTTTTATTGCTTAAAATTACTGTGTTAAAATGACATTTTAAAATATATATTTTTATGCAAAGGGCATAGTTGACCATTCAAAATGGGAGATTTAAAATGAAAAGTTAAAACTGCATTTTTGTCTCCCATTTAGGATGGTCTACTGTGCCCTTTTCCATTTTCTACAATAGACAATCTTGAGATCAAGCTTTGAACATTTTCGAATTGCGCCGCTGCACTTTGTACTTGGTGCTTATTGCCGGATCCTGTTCCACCCTTCATTGGATCCCTTCTCAGAGGAGGTCGCTGGGCGACAGCTGGGACTCTCCCTCCGCCAGGTAGATGTGCATGGCCTTGAGCAGCAGCGCGATGCCCAGCTGCTTCTTCTGTTTCATCGTCCACGACTGGGCGGGTCCGTAGTAATCGCCGCGCTTCATGTTGGTGAGGTGCGCCAAACCCAACGCGTCGATGATGGACGCCTCGCGGGTGTACGCATCAATGGGCAAGATGTTGTGGAAGACATGCAGACAGACGACTCCGCTGCCATGCTGCCAAATGTCCAGGATGCGCTCGAGCTTCCGGCTCCCCATCTTGCCATCTCCAGGTGGTGGCGATCGGAAAACCTCCGGCTGCAATGCGCGAAATCCACCGCCGCGTTCCGCCTTCGACTTCGTCTTCGACTTCGACTTCTCCTTGTCCCGCTTCTGGTGGAGGCGTGTGTGCTGGCGCATGGCATCGTAGAGGTGGGCGTACGGCCGCGAGGACTTGCCCTTGCCCACGTAGAAAATGGAGTCGAGGAACCGCTGCCACACCCCGAACTCCTCCAGGAAGGCGCTCTCACCCGGCAGATTCCGCGAGATGCGCGGATCGATGAGCATGTAGATGAAACTCTGTTTGAGATGGCCCTCGCGCATACTCTTCTTGGCCATGCCGGACTTGGCAAAATGCGCCGCTGAGGCTGCCTCATGGGGCAGGTAGTCGCTGATCCTGGCGAAGTCCGCCGGCGATCGGAGCGTGCGATGCAGCTCCACCGAGTAACGGATCTGCGCCTCCTGGGCATGCTTCTGGGCGGCAAGCAGCGCCTCCGTGTTCCTCTTGTACTTGATCAGCTGCTTGATGTACAGCCGCTTTGTTGTCTTGGTAATGGGGCCGACCGGAGCTCCCAACTGGGTCAGCTCGCGTCGCAGAGCGTCCGTTTCGTAGTCCAGCGGCAGGGTATGATTCGTGCTCACGCTGCTGTCCAGATCGAGTTTCTGCTCCGTGGGAGCTGGCGCGGCAGGCTGCCGCCCCTCGCTGTTCTGCAGGAACTTTGCCTCGTAGAAAACCAAGCCATTCTCGTCGTCCGTGTGGACGTAGGCCTCCTTTATCTGCAGGAAGTACTCATCCTGACGCGTAGAGGGCTCCTCCTCACCCTGAGCTGTGAAAAAACTGTGCTCTGGCTCCGGTTCCGGTTCTGGCTCCACGACCACCGCCTGGGCAACCTGCTCCACCAGCAACTCAAACACCTGGCGACCCGAGCAGGGAGCACCCTCCGCCAGCTGAACCTTCGCATCGGACTCGCCCCGCAGCTGCTGCTGCAGGTGCTGCTCGTAGCGGAAGTCCTCCTGCCCCATGGCCTCGTCCACCAGGGCCTCCACATGCTCGTCGTACTGGTGGAACAGGGACTGGCGGGCCCGCGATCGTGCCACCTTCTCGCGCCAGTTCTCGATGAGAGTGCGCCGCTTTGGCTGGTAGGGATCCTCCGGCTGCTGCTCGCGCTGGCTCTGGATGAGCTGGGTGAGATGGGCCTCGGTCAGGGCGAACAGGTTCACCGACTCCTCATCGGGCAGGATGGGAGGTGGATCGCCTACGGTCTCCGTGGGCTCCACAGTCTCCGGGAACTTTGGCTGCGGTCGATGCCGCCTGTGGGTGATGTTGATGTAGTAGGGCGAGGTCACGTCATGGTTGTACCTCTGCTGATTGGGGGTGAGTGTGTCCACCCGCTGCTTCTGCTTCTGCATCTTCTGGCGCTGTCTCGTGCGGCAGATGTGATCCCGGAGCAGCTGCAGCACCTCGAAGTGGCACTCCTCGATGGCATAGTGCACGGGCAGCTTGTTCTCCTCGTCGGCCAGATCCGCTCGAGCGCCGCGCTCCAGCAGCATCCTCACCAGCTCCGCCCGCCCGTAGATGCTGGCGATGTGCAGCGCGGTGGTCTGGCCATCGCACAGGGCGTCCACGTCGAGGTCGGGGCTCTCGAGGAACCGCTCCAGGATGCGCTGGGCCAGCTGCGCGTTTCGCATGCCGCACACGTAGTGCAGGGGCGCCAGGCCGCGATCGCAGGGCACGATGCCCGCATTTATGCTATTCCGCTCCAGCATCGACATTATGTCCGATTCGTTCTCGTCCTCCAAAGCGTCCAGAAGGGTCAGGGCCAGGAAATTGGCACGCTGCTCCATCTCGGCGATGCTTCTCGTATCGATTTTTGCCCATGCACTTTCTCTCTCGCTCTCGCTTTCGCTTTCGCTCTCACTTTAATTGCAAACTGCAAATCAATTATTGTTAAATTCTCAACTTTGTTGTTGTTGTTGCTGCTGCTGCTGTGTTTTTCAAGTGTGGCCATATCGGGCACTTTACAGAGATGCCACATGTTTGAAATTCGATTTGCTAATTGGTATTTTGATGGACCGTATTTTTTGAGCGCCAAATTTAAAACCGGTTGGGCTCAGCGAGTAATTACATTTGAGTTTTGGCACATAATTGGCTTGAAGACACGCTCTTGGCGATACGCTTGCCACAACAGCTTGATCTGTGAGCGCAACACGTGTTGTTGCTTTATGAGATTTTGTTTATCTCCTCTCTTGAAACCAAAACTAGTTCCCGCCAAAGGCGTAACCGTCGCTAAAAAATGGGGCCCAAGGTTTCTATGCCCCTTGTTATGCTTATGCGATAGCGCGTTGAGGTCACTTGTTGTTGATGTTGCTGCTTGAGTTTGTTTTTGTTTTTGTTTTCGCGTTGTTAGTAAACAAACGCAGTGACTAACAAAAATAAACGTAGAGGACAGCAATTTTACGAAGAACGGCGCATCGAAAATTAATCATTCATTTTCGCAGCATTTTAAAAGTGCATTTCAGGTCGTTGGCATCAGAAATTAAGCTTAACGAGCAATTGCAAGTTATCAAGCACTCAACATCAATCTTAAAAACACTGGTGACTCTTACAAAAACAACCTTAATCATATAACTAAGGGGAAATAAAAAAAAATTAACAATGCAAAAATTTACCAAAAACTAAATAACAACAGTTATACAATTTTAAGCCTCTCTATTCTCTAGCTAATAGTGATTGTTTTAAGAAATTTATAAATCTCAAGTTATTGTCAAAATAAAAACTAAGCTAACTCAAATAAATTTTAAAATTTATACAGATTTATTAGAAAAAAAATACTATTGTTCTAAAAAACGTATAAATCATATATGTATTAATTTTATTACATTATCAAATGATAATGTTAAAACTGATTGATTTTGGTCTTTCCGTCCATTCACCCGCGCGGCTTATTTATTTGTTTCTGATTAGAAATTTCGCTGGCCCCCATTCTCCCCCTCACAGCACACTTGCCTCTCCAATTGAGTTTCTTTGTTCTCTTTTGGCCTATGACGCGCATCTATCAGCTGCCGATTTTTATTGCATTTGCGCTTGGCTTGTTGTTTTTATTTTTCGCTTTTCACCATAAGTAGTATTATTGATTTTTTTTTTGTTGCTTTTTTCCAGCCGTCTTTGCGAGAAAAATGAAATAAAAAGTAGAAGATCTGCAGATTTGCACTTTTCCCTTCACCTTGTTTTGTGCCAAATGACATCAGCTGACTGAAAATAAACGCAACTATGCAATCGCGAAACTGGTTAATTAAGCTTTAGAATTAAGGCTGTGCTTGTAGATACAGAGCTCTCTAACGAATGTTTATAAAAAATTGTATTTTTTTTCGGAAATTATTTCTTATGGCATTTATGAACACTACTCGTTAAAAAAAAGGTTTTTTTGTCTTTTCTTAACATGTTTTGGTTTTTATCATGAAGACTTTTGTTGTTATTGCTTCGAGTGATAACTGTATTTATTTTGTTTCTTTCATACGCTTATTCTGACCGCAGCTTTACATGCATAGAATATTGCACATCAGCTGTTGCGCATAAAACAAGCCATTGTGTGCGATTCGTGCGAGTGTGGGTGCCGTGCACAGTGGCCATCAAATTGAGAGAACTGGATTGAGTCGCTTTATTAGCCCGCCAACCCTATCCTCCCCTGTCTTGTTGGACAGTGTAGTCGGTTACTTTCCTCCCCCGTAACGCTCACTACGGGAACGGCATTTCAAAATAGATGAGTGCATGTCGTTGTAATTGGAACTGCTTGTTTGCATGTTCTAATAAACTACATACACACGAATAAATGACGCCAATCCACGCTCACCCATAAACACACTCCCCCACAGCAGCTGTTTTTTGCCTTGTTTACTCGTCTAATTTGTCGATTTTTGTATCTCAATTTTTTGCCGTGGTTTTGTCACTTTTTTCGCTTTGGTGACCTTCCTGGCCTGGAACCAAAACCAAGGATTTTGGCATGGCTATTGTAACTTACGTAAAATCCTGGTTGAAGTTCATCTGATATGTGGCCATTGTTGTTGCTGGACGTTTCTGCTGATTGTATCTATTTATCTCGTTACACTTTCACTGGCCACTAAATATTATTTGGATTTTTTTGTTGTATGTGTATCTTATTGCAGTGTTCCACAATTGGAGCACACAAAAAACACAAAGCTTCGCAGGCAGATGAACAATGCGAATTGATTTGGTTTGATTTTGAAAAATTAAATTCGTTTTGTTTTCGTTCTATCTATCAACAAATTCCCCCAACACACACACACACAGTAGAGGTGGAGAAACATCGATGTTAACATCGATGTCATCGATGTTTTCAAAACATCGGTAACATCGATGCTCGCTAACATCGATGTTCTTCCACCTCTAACTTGGTGGCCAAGGAAGGGGAGCTGATGGTGTTGTTTGACGGGTTTGCTACGAAACCACCTAAGTTTCGGAAAAAGGGCAAGGATCCCCGTGTATGTGGGAGTTATTTCCTGCCAGAGATCCAGCAGTAAAGTAATGTGGTACTGCGAGCAGAATTTGCAGCGTGCGCTCTTGTCTTCTTGTTTTTATACAAAAAAGATTTCATATTCGAAAGAAATCAAAAATAGCGCCAACCTTGCATATAGAAATCAGCTGTTATAGTGGTGGCACGAAGAAAATATCGTTCAAAAACACTATTTTCCGGTATTTTTCTAAAAATGTTCGGGGCGAATGATTTTTAATCGCATTTACTTATCGCATTTATTTTAAATGCGGCAATTAGCCTCATGGGGTTCCCTGTGTAAATAAATGCGCATTAGGCTAAATGGGGTTTAATCCGCAAATGGAATCCGGCTATTAATTTGACGGAAAAGGAAAAAAAGTCGGATCATTCCTGTGATAGCTGTAGCATAGGGTCGTCCGATTTTAATAAATAAAAATTTCCTCCTCTAATTCTGATATATTAAATCGGATGGAGATCAAAGTCTGATCAAAAATATATTGACTTGATAGGTCGGAAATTTCTCCTCCACTTATTTGTATATTTCTTAATGAAATTGTAATAAACTGAGGTATGCAACTGATCATAATATGGGTATAATGACAACTTAACATTAAGAAACAAGTATGAAGAAGTTTGAATTTAATAATATTTGTTTTGCATGTATATGAGTCATCACTACTCATGGTACGAAAATTATTTATATACGACCTTATGCATATGTCCTGGCGGAAAACATCACTTCAATATAAAATGTGTTGTAGTGGAATCTCACATAATTTATAGAACCTACGCAAACACATACTGCAATCCAGTTCCCACATACCTAAAGTACACTAAAAACTAGTTCGCCTCAGACTGCCAACCCGCTTGAAATACAAGTGCAGAGGGCAGGATTGTCAGAAAACGTCGGTACGGCCACACTGCAACTCGCAATAGAAAATAAAGCGTTTTCTTTTGGTTTAAAGAGGAAATTTCGCATGTAAAAGCGCAGTCTCGCGGCCAGAAATATGCAAACTCGACGACTCGGAGTGCCGTGCGACCAGAGTGCTTGAGATTCGGACAAATGCCTCGCGAAATCAGTGCGCATTGTGCGGATTTGCCAGTGTAGTTACGATACAGCCCACGAAAATTTTCACCCGTTCTCGGGGACGCATGAAAAATGGCGGCGTCCTCAGCCGCGGTTCCGAGTTCGATTCCCATTCCGGCGGAGGCGATATCGGAGGAGTGCAAGGACGACGACGCCCTGACCTCCACACTCCACACGTGCGCCAACGACCCGGACTTCGCGGTGATCTGCGCCTTCCTCCAGAAATTCGCCAAGGATTTGGGCCTGAGCCTGCCGAGCTTCAGGCAATTGCAAGAGTGGTTCACCAGCAACAACGAAGGTGACCTGCTTGTGGGGGCGGGGCTTTGTCAAATTGAGTTATGTCAGGTGGAATTATTGGGGGTAATACCACGAAAATACCGTTTTTAAATTGGTCTGCTTTTGACTCGGGAGAGAGAGAGAGAGAGAGAGCGTTCGCATTTTTGCTTGTAAGAGAGAGTAATCGAAAAGAGCACAACTTTTTGTTTTCTTTCCAACACAAGCGCAAGCAACAACAAATCCGTGAAAGATGTAAATATTTCCCATTGGGCCATTTGTTATTGTCGAAGAATTTTTCATTTGCCCATCTTCTTTTACTTATTGTATCATTCTGATTTGTTGACACATATTTATACAATTCACTATTATTGCACATGCAAAGAGTGAACTTGTTATTAATAACAATTTCACATCAGAAAGAAAATATTGAATGCCAAGTTAACAAACATGAAGTTTCATTGTACCCGGTTGTTTTATTCACTTTTATTTTTCAATGTTTTTTTTTTTTTGTTAAATCGAACAAATGTAACACAGTAACAAGACTGATTTTTTTAGCATTAGCATTAATTATTGTCATCACCTAATTAGTTAAATTTCATTTAAGTACTGAACCAATTGTGACATTTATTTTAGCTTTTAATAGAAAATCATTTTTTGACTGAAAATTTCGTGAAACTTTTTAAATATTATTTTGTTTTTGCAACGGTTTTACTCCTGTCAAAACGATACAAAATCAAATCAAATAAGATTGTAAGTTTAGAATAAAAAAAGGTTGAATGTATTTCGATACAAAAAAATGAGTTATGATTACAGTCCATGAACACTTGTATAAATTATCGACAACACCTTATTAGTAGTTCTGCTTTTCATGTTGATAAAAGCTAACCAAAATATTAGTCAAAATATATTTAGTCCTAACACTTAATAATAACTTATTTTTGCAGTTCCCGAGCTCAGGGACTTGCATATAAAGCTGCTGCGGAAGACCCGTAAGACGGTTCACGAGAAGAGCTGGGAGTCTGCCCTCAGCAAGTTCTGCTTCGGTTATTCGGTCCAAGACGCCTGGGAAATCGAGCGGTTTGGTTACAGGAACTCCAGCTTGAAGGTCAAACTGCGAATATTCCGGGTAAGAGACGAAATGCCATTGATCATTGACTGAGGCAGAGCTAAAGTGTCGTTTACCCGTGTCCAGGAACTCCTCGAAAGTCAGTTTGAGCGCAATGCCAAGTTCCGGGCCCACATACTCACATTGAATGCGGACACCTTGCGCTCGGAGCCGATTGGGCGGGATCGGCTGGGCCACGCCTACTGGCTGACCCAGGACGCCGACTGCAACCTGCGCATCTACCAGGAGCATCTGGACGAGGAGATCTGGCAGGTGGTGGCCACGAACCGGGAAGAGTTCGTCAATCTCATTGCCAGGCTGCGCGGAAACGAGGTGGTGCTGCCTTCGAAGGACATTGGTGAGGCCGACGAGGACACCAGCAGCAGCAACAGCTGTCCCGCCAAACCACCGCCGCCAGAGGAAAAAGAGGAAGAGGATGACGAGGAAGATGGAGTTGGCGATGGAGATGGAGATGAGGAGGAGCCCGTAAAAACGGTGCCAAATCTAAAGATTAAACTGCGCTCTCCCGAGCAGGAGGAGAAAAAATCGAAGAAGGTTAAGGTACGTATGCAATGGCATCCATCAGGCATTCCAGAACTATTCATTTCAACTATCGCTCTTTCAGCCACTGTTCATCAGCCAGGCGAAGCTCGGGGGCAGCGCTTCACCGTCGCCGGCCAAAAAGCGTTCCATCGACGACGTGGACAGTAGCCCTACGGCCTCCCAGGAGGAGCAGCAGAAGAAGCAACGGCCCACACTGCTGGACACCAAGCGCATCAAGAAGCCCAGTCGCTACGAGAGCACCAAGGACGAGAACGAAGGCGAGTCCGGCGAGGAGGAGGAGGACGAGGAGGAGGAAGAAGCGGACGAGGATGAGGAGGACTCTGAACTGGACGAGGGGGAGGAAGAAGAGGACATCGACAGCGCGGCGGCAGATATCGAAGAAGATGACGACGAGGAAGAAGTTGGCGAGGCGATTGAGGATCCAACGATAGAGGTGCGGGGCCAAGGATCAGGCCGCGACTGTGAGGCCGTTCCCCTCACCTTTCTGAGCAACTTTGACTGCGGGGATGAGCTGGAGCTCAGCGAAGCTATCGCGGACCCGGTGCTCTTTGTGATCGGTCAAGGATGGGGAAGCGATTGTCTCGTCGGTAATGGCAAAAATGAAGCTGCCGTAGACGAGACAACCGTGGAGACAACGGAGCCGAAGGCCACCTTCTTCTTTGGAGAGCCGGGGTGCCTCAAGCTGAGTCCCATGAAGCAAACACCAAAGCCGGAGGCGAGGCGCAGCATTTTCGACAGCTTGGGCGAGGAGAAAACAAATGGGGAGAGCGAAAAGTGCAGGGAGGACGATCCGCCCCGAAATGGCAGCGAACTCAGAGAGACTCCAGCAGGCGCTGAAGCTACAGTCTCTGCTGCTCCTAGCGAAGAGACTATCAAAAGCCCAGAAGCTAACGAAAACAAAATCTCAGAGGAACAAATGAAAGAGAGAAAGTCCGAGCAAGTGGGTGAAACGGATTTGCTGGAATTTAAAATCAAGGTGATCGAAACGAATGACAAAATCTCTAAAGTACATGAAGCAGTAAAAGGAGTGTCGAGTTCAGACGCAAAGAACCACTTAGATAAAGGCGAACCATTCCCATCTGAGGATAAGGATGCAGATACTAAAGAAAAAGCCAAGGACTGTTTAGAAGAAGAACAAAGCGTCAAGGAAAATGGTCCAGTTAAAAAACTGTCCTCAGAGGAAAAACCGTCGTTAACTGATCTGCAGAATTCTACCAGAGATACTGATACGGCTAGCAAATGCAATGACAAGATTGCCAGTGAAGAAAAAACAAATAAACCTAACCAAAACGATAAGAGAACAAAAACTGAGCCGGAAACGGAAACGAGCGCTAAAGAAGTGGAAATTGAAACACCTAAAAGCGTCAATAAATCCAAATCTTTAATTAAACATCCTGTAAGCCAAATCGATGATCTAAGTCCTGTATACGAATCAAAAGTTGAGCCAGAAAATGTTAGAAAAATCATTGAAATTGTGCCAGAAACGCTTGCGAATGACAATAAACCCTCCGATCTGAAGAAGAAATGGATTAGATCTAGTAGCGAAGCGGTCACAATCTCTCACGAGACCATTAAAAGTGATAATTCCTCCCACGCAGAAGACACGATACCGGAAAAAGTACAAAACGAAGTGGCAAGTACTTCCAAAAGCCTGATTTCGGAGGATAAGTCGAAGGAGGGTGATATGAAAGGCAAGGCGGATGCCGAGTCACTTTCAGTCGACCAGACAATTTCAGTACCTAAGCCTTCTATGCTACTAAA